CATACACACATACTCATATACAGATATTACTTACATTAATTGTGCTTCTATGTGGTTCAATCGTTCATGGATTTTGCTTTAAAATTTGTATAAATAATTAGTAAATACATTTTTTTTTAAAGAAGTGAAGCTAATACACATAATTACAGGCTTACAGTTAGGAAATATTTCTAAAAAATTGACATTTTTTAAGGTATCTTATTCAAAAATTTGCGTGCATTTTTTTAACAATAATTATTTAGATTCAGTACTTGAATTAAATTTTTTATTTAAAAAAACATATTATTATGGATGTTTGAGTAAATAATCTCGAAAAAAAGCAAAGAATTTCTAAACTTTTGGTTTGTAATGTATCATTAGTAATAGTTTATCTCTTAATAAGCAATGTTTTTAAACATTTATTTAATATTATAATATATTAAATAAATATTTAAAAAACATTGTCTGCTGATTGAGATATTGACGGATATGATTGTACATTTAACATATTTTTATTGATAATGTTTATTGTTGTTTTTTATATTATTTCACTTATTTATTTATTACATATTATTTATATAGAATTTATAGTATTAAATTATTATCACATTACACTCACTGATTCTCTACTTCATTTTCTGCTATTCTTCTAAGTTGAGCATTGTAATTTGCTTTAGTCGGCATTGATTCGCCTGAATTTGGATAATTAGCTTGAAACTTGTTGTATGTATTAATATTGTTGTCTAAAGTATTATATTGGTTTGGCACAAATGTTGAGCTACGCGTTGTATTAAGTAAACGTTCTGTTGAAGGAGCAGCGCATGATAAAGTAGAATATGATTCTGTATTGACAGGTATTTGTAAAGAATGATATGAATTAGATATTTGTTCTTGTGGATAGTTCTGTGGCTGAGTGGATATTTGTTCTTGTGCTTTGTATACAGGAGGATCCTGTTGTGTCCGTAAATTATTTGTATTATATAAATGAGAGGAATTTTCTTCTAAAATTCCTCTCAATTCCCTGATATCTTCTTCCAATGTCATGGTCATATCTTTGTCTTGTCCTCCAGTCCTTCCTGTTTTCTTGGGGCTTCATCAGAAGACATAGTCTGAATAGTCTGAACGTAGTTCTGAAATCTGGATGGTTTGACAATGGTTCTTTTTGGACGTTCTTCTCTAGGTGATGTAGACATAATTCTTCTGTGTACTCTAGTGAAAATTATCAGAATTTTTATGCTTTTCAGAAATATTTAAGAAACTATATATCTTTTCTTAGACTATTTCAGATTTCACCCTATATGAAATTCTGATAAATTAAATATAAACTTTGTCGATACTTTTAAATAATGTTTCAATTTGTATATTAAAAATTTGAACTATGTAAAATAATTATATAAAAATAAAGCACATTATATCCATGTAAAAAATATAAATTAAATTATAAAGTTTTAATTACATATAATATTTTACATATAAATTGATAACTGTAACAGACCTAATAACAAATTTTGCACTGCACAATATGCGAAAATCAAATAAAAAATCAAATTCTTATGAAAAATACTATTAGACTTGAAAAAACTTATTAGAAAAAATAGTATACAATATTGGAGTCAAATAATTTTTCATTAATTTACAGTAGATTTTGGCTAGTCCAATCGTATTTTTTCATAAGAAAATATAACATCTGCAAAGGACATGTATTAAATATTAACAACATTAGGAACATTGAAGCATAATTAAGATATTTATATCATTAGAAACATTCAAGCATAATTAAGATTTATATCATTGAAAACATTAATAACATTAAAAATACTAAAAGGTTTTGTTTTACGCAATTTCAAACGATTCAAAATTATAGATTTAGATTTTAATTAAATTATTTCGAATTTTAGGCATAACTTTTTTATTTTGATTTTTTGTTACTTTCAGTATAATTAATGCAAATTTTTTCGTGAAGTAAAACGTTTCAAAATAAATGATATCATATAGTTACGTATGTCGTTGATATTCGTCTTTCGTTCCTGTCGTTCCCTCCCCTCTGCCGTTTATTATTCTTCTTTTTCTTCTGCACTAGATATTGTAATTTTCAATATTGTAGTTAAAAGATGGCTCAACTGAGGAAATACAGAAAAGATGAATTAGTACTATCAAAATTTTACTATCTTCTAATTCAACATTTGTGAGAAATATTTTTGTTATAATATTAAGATTGATTAAACAAATTCTGTTATATAATATATATAAGGCGAAACTTTGCTCATAGTAAACATTAAATATTTAATTACATTATAAGCGAATGATTTACACAGATTTTATTAAAATTCTATACACTATTTTATAATTTTGGATATATAATTTTCTCGTATTGCTTTATGCACATTTTCATGAAATAAAATATTTCAGAATAAAAAGGTTTTACATGCATCATTAATTAATCTTTCTTTAATCTCTGCCGTTCACAATCCTCCGTTTTATTAACTTTTAATTTTTCTCTACTCCGCATAAACATTATATATATATATATATGTATATATAGGGGAATGTCGTCAGGGTTGGGACGCTGTCATAATTTGGACATTGCTATATTTTGTCTCAAAGACACTTAGCGCCACCACTGTCGAGGCGTGGCATTACTACTCTCGGTGCCAACAAACCTTTTCAGAGCATTGAACGTGTCTTTGCGCTAAGTGTCTGGCCAAAAATTAGCAGTGTCCCAACCATGACAGCGTCCCAACCCTGACGACATTCCCCTATATATAAATATATATATATATACATATATCACAATCGTTGAGAATTTCTGAGTAAAATCGCGCGTTACTTCGAAATTCTTAATGGTTGAGATGCATAATATTTATACGGAGTAGATAAAAATTAAAAGCTAATTAATAAACGGAAAATTGTAAACGGTTGAGGTTAATAAAAGGTATTTAATTGTATCTAAAATTCATTCTAGCATGTAACATTTTACAAAAATGCTTGACAAAGTGATGATTGCTTGTTACTCCGAAATTTTCGACAGTCTCGATCAGATGCAAAATATTCATACGGAATATAGAAAAATTGAAAGCTATAATAAACGGCGGATTACATACGGAACTCAGCCTTTATCAAACGTTTTTGCAAAATGTTTAACATTTCAGAATTTTACGTGCAGCCAATTCATTAACCTCAATTTTTAATTAACCTCAATTGCAATGTTTACAATCTTCCATTTATTATAGCTTTTAATTTTTCTCTATTCCATATAATCGTTATAATTATGCATCACAATTATTGAGAATTTCGAGATAACGTAGATCATCGCTTTGTTAAACGTTTTTGTAAAATATTACATTAAAAAAGATTTTACATGTACACTTACCTTTTACTAATTTTAGCTGTTTATAATCCTCTATATTATCTTTGATATTTTTCTCTATTATGAATATTTCTCTGTTCTGAATATTCTGCATCCGATTGTAACCGCGTAGAGAACAACGAAGTAATTATAAGCATCACTGCCAAGCATCGCTTTATCAAAAATTGCCGGTCGATCCTTTAGCCAATCATACGCTTCGCATTATGTCGCCATCATGCTGACACGGCATGTTGGGAATCATGCAGTCATGCGATTGAGCGCTATTGCGGTAAAGAAACATTTTATTGGTTAAAGTTTACCGGTAATTTTTACCAAAGTGATCTTCGCGTTAGCGTTACTCCAGAGTTGTCTATGATTGCAATCGGAATGCAGAATATACAGAACAGAGA